GTTCCAGTTCGGGGTCATGAGAGGACAGAGCCTCTTCTAGCAGCTCAAGGCACAAGGCGGGCGCCCCACCCCCCCATCCACCCCAACACTCACAAGCACCAGACTCACTCGGCCTGGAATGGCGGATAGTCACTCACTTGGCCAAGAGTCCTGTGGCCAAGTCTTTGGGATGTGGGAGGAAACCGCAGAACCTACGAAGACCTGTGTAAACTCCTTACAGTGAGCCTAGACCGGGAACTCATTTGTTCTTCTTATCACTGTCCAAGGAAATGACATGGAACAAAATGACATGATTCAGACAGCGATGCCTCTTTTGAAAGTGGTACCACTGTGTAAAGTGGGGCAGGGAATGGGCTACTTGTATCTGTGGGGCGTCTCTGCTCACAATCATGCAACCCTGGGCCTCAGGAACTCTCAGGCATGCCACGTCACGCTTACTCTGGGATAAACAGGGGTATACAAGTTGCAGTCTTCACTCAGAAGTAGCCACCTGGGATCCAGACTTGGCCTGCCCAGACCAGGAAGCAAAGCTGAGTGCCGGACGCTGTGGGGCGTGTTTCACACATGGCTCAGCTGCGTAGTCTTTGCTCTCTGGCGTCTTCCAAGTTGAAAGGGATCAAAGAAATCCCCGTCATAATGAGCATGCATGGATTCCATGGAAAAGAAGGCAAATATGTTTAAAAGATTACCGTACTGGCTCTAAGTTTCTGCTAGAGGATTGCACGAGGACCCGAGACATCAGGATAGACACCTGCATGGTAGGAGGCCCTGGACAGCCCCACTTCTCCCACTGGGTCTCCTTGGAGCACCCGGGACTTTAAGGACTGCAATTAAGGTCAGCAAAGGGCTGCCTTTGGAGAGAGCCCTGGAGACGGGCTATCAGTGGCACCGATCACACCTGTGGGAGTCTTGCCGTAAACACAAAGGAGCTTCTGTTCTGATCGCTGGATCAAACAGAATCTCACCCTGTGAAAATTTGTTTTCACATGTTTTCCAATGTGCAATTGTTGGTAGGGTTTGTAATACAGCTCTGATGAAGTCCACACCTTCTTGGGGAAGTCCTTCTTGGGGAAGTCAACTCAAACAGCATCTTGTGCTCATTTCCAATTTGAATTTGGAAACCTAAGGAGCACTTAGGCCTATCTTGGGCTGCTTAGAGGTGACCATCTGCCAGCTTGCCAGGGATAGCCATGGTTTCTGTTCTGGTCTTGTTGTAATTATTAATAGTAATCTCTTTTCCCTACCACAAGTGCTCTGGTGCATACTTGAGTATAAGTTCACCCTAGCTAGCTGACACACTGCTATCAAAACTAAGGTTAGGCCCTCCCTAGTGGTGCAGTGGGTTAAAGCACAACACTAAGAAGCTAAAGCCACTTCAGCATGAATTTGATCCCCGCCCCGGAAGTGACCCACATGGTGTGGCAGACCTCTCATAACCCGCCCGCTGCTCCCCTCAGCGGTGGACTTCGTCAGTCAGCCTGTTTGCTCCCCACTCTGTCTCCGGTGAATCCTCTCACCGCCCCTGCCTCTGGCCTGTATCCCAGTTCTGGCCTGTATCCCAGTTCTGTATGGATAAATAAATAAATTTTAAAAACAAAAACAAACAAACAAAAAACTAAGGTTAGAGATTCTATATTTCATTCACCTGATCATCCATTTAAACAAATATTTTCCCAGTCACCGAACATCTTCTATTTCTAACTGACACAACAGTGTTCTTAGAAAAGACAATTTGTCTCATCAAACGTGGGGTTTCTGATTGAAATACTTTTGATTTATCTGCCTTTCTTTTGTTTTACTCACTATTATCAATCCTCTGAAATTGGCACTTATGAGTTCAGCCAGCATTAATTCTTTCATATCTTGATATCAAGTCATTTTATGCTATTTTTGTCTTTAATAGGGTGAAGGTTTAAAAAATGGAAATATATATCAATATATATATTCCAGTCAATTTCATTAAAGCGTGATTCTAACCATGATGTCTTGAAAACTTACATAAAGGATGTTGACTTGTTTTCCATAGCCCTGTAGTTAAATAGGCCTGCTGGGAAATCACATTCAGTGGTTTATGATTCTGGTGATTAATGCCTATCATGGCAAATGCTTGTTTAAGTTGCATTATAAAAGCCAATCATGGCCCAGTTCTATAATAGGTTAGCTCTGCCTGCAAAATCACCGTTTGCCCTTACAGTAATCTTTTATCTCTTCACTCGTCTTTCCCTTTAAATGATACTTTTTTGTGTGTTAGCTCATTTTGAATCATGAATTGCCAGCATATGGAGCCATTAAACAAGAAATAGCCTTGTGCCTTCCCTGGTTAACAGAAATGAAGCTGAAAATTTAGCCCCTTGGTATCATTATTGTAACTCTCTATACGGCTGGAGGAAAATCAAATCTCAAGTTCTTCCCGCGTTCCTTATGCCTTTCCCAGCATATTTCAGTGTATGGCAGTAGGCAGATTGGTTCATAAAAGCAATTTTTAAACCCAGAAATTAAATTAAACCAAAATGCATGGTGTACTTCTAGTTCAAATAGCGTTTCTTCCAGAAAGAACATCTCCACAGTTAGGGCAGTGACAATAATAGTATTTTTCATGACGATCTGAGTTACTGAGCATTTATAGATTGCAGAATACACTTATTGTTTCCCAGAGACCCCTCTCAGCAAAAATGACTATTGCTGAAAAGGTCTTAGTTTGGTCTGTGTGTTTTGTGTTCAGGTGTATAGTATAGTCAATGCAAGGACTAAGGACAGTCATTTCTCAGATTGTTTTCAGCTCCTTTTTTCAAGGAAGAGGAACAAAGGGCCTGTAATGAGACTGATAGAAGCTTTCTCCCAGAGAATAGTCAGAAAGTTTGAGTATTCAAGAAAACCTTTACTATAAATATATATCCAGACTTCATGGCCCTTAATGATTTATGTTAATTGTCTTCCCTGATAATGCTGTTTTCTTTTGTATATTTTGCCAAGGAAGAGGTCTATTCTGTGTGCGTGTGTCTACGTATGTTTGGAGGGATGGGGTCCGAGTAACTTGAACACATGACCCACCGAGAGGGTTCCTTAAGCTGCCTGGGAATGAGTCGTTGAGAACATGGAGAAGTGCATCCCCCATATGGCCCATCGGGGAGTCAGTGTTTTGAAGGGCTGCTCTCTCTCCAGACTGTCTCAGCCAGCACAGTCTCCATCTCCATATGGATCTCTTCTGCTTGGCTTGCACTCACCTGGAAGGCAGGCAAGGAGCAGGGTGGCTGCTGTTGGGTGATGTGTGTCCCACTGTCTTGGCCTCCTTTTTCTCCGGCTGTACCTCTGCACTGTGTCAGTGACAGCTGTTGGGAGCTGTAGGGGCTGGGCTCTTCATACATCACATTAAGCCATGGCGCATGGACATCAGGTTAGGCTGGAGCTCTGATGCAGCAATGCTGGGAAAGGACTCTCTCTTTCCCCTCCCTTGCCCCCTCCAACCTTCTTCCTAGACCCCAAGCACTGTTCAGCCTTCAGTCATTTGAAGAGAAATACACAAACACACAATAGCTATGGAAAGGATCAGGATCAGGATAACCTGGACCTGGAGGCCTGAGCACAGATCCTGCATTCGTCAATATTTGTCCCGGAGGAAATAGTAAGGTTAAAGAGAGCTCAGCTGGTGTTTACCCATAGGCCACCAATACAGAAACAGCATGATTAGATCCTCCTTAAAGCAAGATTACCAGATAATTCTGTTGCAAAGTCATGACGACCTTGAGCTATCTGCCCTGTCAACCCAACTGCCTGTTTTCATGCCACCAAGGTACAGCTGTACTTTGTTGAACAGTAGCCGTATCTTGTTGGATTTCAAGAAAAATTCTATTCATAGTTGAAGGTTTCCATCTTCCTTTCCTGACGTGAATTTAGTTTGCTCCCTGGCATGTCTGCTTTCCTTGTGGTTTATATCTTTTGTCCTTTAGGGGTTTCCGTACCTTTTTGTCCTCAATGGCCATATTATGGGCCTCACAGTGCCAAAATACACAGGTGACGAGTTCAGGATCTTCAGGCCGCTATTGTTTTGCACACATTCTTCCTCTACATTAACCTAAAACCTGGCCTGGGCAGCCCAGACTGGGTCAAGGTATGACCAGCCTGCTAACCACTGTCCTCCCCCCTCATGTGACAGGGCCACTGAAGGTTAAAATGCCATTCTCTTCCTACTAGGGACAGTGTTGCTTGTGGAGCTAGCCAGCTAATGTCGCTTAGATTATTTTCCCATCTCTCTCTCTCTCTTTTTTTGTGGACATTGTGCCTTCTATTTTCACTTTCTGGGACATTTGCCAGTTTTTCAAGGACTGGGTAAAGAACAAAGTAAATATTTGCAGGTAGTTTAAAAGGAGAATGCGTACCTTGGATGTAACTTTGGGCATCCAGAGAAAAGCCTTTTAATTGTCTTTCAGATATCTTAATTAACCTCAGAGATGCACAAAGTTGGTCTTACTGGTTTACTCTTCAGATTTGTTAGCAACTTGTGTGTTTGTATGTGTGTGTTGGGCAAGAGGGAAGGAATCAGGGAAAGTTTACACAGCTGACTATAAACTTTGTAAAATCCATTTTAAGAGAAAGAAATTGTGTTAAAAGTAAACTAACTCTGTATCTCTTAGTCCCGCCCTTAAATAGTAAGAATGCTTTTCCTTAAAGCTTTCAGGTATATCCTTTCAAATTTTGAAAGAGATTTCCCTGAGAGTTGGAACATTCAGGAGCTGGCTGTTCAGGAACGCCTATCAGCTTATTTGGGAGACTGAGTCTCGGTCTAAGATTAAAGATAACAGAGCACTGGCTTCCAGCAAAGGTTCACGCCTGTGTGAACTGTTTTCCTTCCTTGGCGGCGGAATCCCAGCACTTTGCGGCGTGGAAAACTGGTCTGGCTTCGGGGTAGGAAAGCCATCACCTGTTGGTGCCTCCCGGAGCGCAGCGCGGCGCGCCGCGCCACGGGGGCCCGCCCCGGGCTGGGGTGGTGGCGGCCGGCGCGGGAGCACAGCCCCCACTCCTCGCGGGCCCGTCCCGCTGGCGGCCGGACAGACGCGGGGACGCGGGGACGCAAGACGGAAGGACGGGGGAGGCCCGGCGCTGGAATGCAGTTTTCTTGGGCGAGAGCGACTTTGCACCGGAGTGGAGAATAGTTTGGGGTGGGGTTTCGCACCGTCCCCTCCTCCTCACCCCCAGGGCCCCTTCCTGGCGCTTTCTGAGAGCTTTCAGAACTGCGCACAGAAGTTTAAAGAGCAGCGAGGAGCCTGCGCCGTAGGCAGGGACAATGGAAGAAAATGAAAGCCAGAAATGTGAGCCATGTCTTCCTTACTCAGCAGACAGCAGACAGATGCAGGGTAAGTAACAGACTCATTCAAAGATGGAGTTCCAGTTACGCGTGACCCTCGCCGCTTGCTGCTTTTTATAACTGGAGACAGGGCGCCTGGCAGAGAGAAAGCCTGTTTCTTGGGTGCTGTCTTTTCAAAACGGAGCGGAGAGTTTTGATTTCTTGGGTCTCGCTTTATCTCTGGCAGGATTTTCTTAAACAGCCCAAGAAGTGGTGTGGTGATGTCACATTTGCAACTCAGCAGGGAGTCGGTTTATGCTCTCTCTCTCTCTCTCTCTCTCTGGGCAGTGACACAATATCGCCAAGTAACTTTTATCGCAAAGCAACTTTGAATCCTCACTGCTCCAGCGGTGGCAGAAGGAGCTGTTTCTGTGACGCTTGTCTGGAAGACGGCAGAATTTCCATTCATTGATTGGGGGATTCCATGAGGCAAATGCCTGTTGGATGCAAGTTTGGTAGTCTTTTCCAATAAAATCACAGCGTTTAGGGATGTTTTATTTTACGGAGTAGCCAACAGCAGGGGAACATTTTTAATTTTAACACATGGATGCTAGGTGGAACCCGGAATTTCTGCTCTTTTTTTTTTTTTTTTGAAGTTAGGTATTGTTAGACAATTTTACTATATTTTTCGGGGCAGTTTCCCTTTAATTGTGTTTATAATAATTGACTTGTCTTTTCCATAGGGAATTTCCAGAGGCTTATGTGGTTCCAAAGAAGGATTTCACAGTGGGGTTGGGTGGAGGAAGGACCCTACCCTCTAGTATCTGGTGTCTGTGATGCCAGAGTCTGTCCTGTAATCCACGCAGGCAGCATGCTCATGAAGGGCGCAATCTGGATCCATCCCCGCCCACCCTACCCCAGGTTCATCCAGGGGCCGGTTAATAACTAAAGACGTGCTTTCTTTCAAGGCAGCCGGGCTGTGCGTAGGAGTAGGGATTATGCACTGGGGAAAAGGTGTGTGTTTTTTAAAAAGGCAAAAGGGAAGTAACAAATGACTCATCCACAGTGGAAATGCAAAACCATGCCAGATTGAAGAAAATGCAATTACAATAGACAACCCCAGCCCCCTACCCCTTCCTACCCCGCCCCCCACAGCGAAATGCAGAAAATTCAAAGCTTGATAAACCCTGGAGGATACCTAAATCTTACAGTCATCTGTCTAGGTGTCTGGGTTTGTACTTCCAAAGAAAAGCATTCTGCTGTGGGCGCCTGCTGGGGGGGGGGGGGGTCCACCAGAAAGAAAGCTTTCTTAGCTTCCTGGGGGGGGGGGGGGGGGGGTCCACCAGAAAGAAAGCTTTCTTAGCTTCCTCTCTCCTTTTTTTCATTCTTCCTCCCTCCCTCTCCCCCCCTCCCCTTACTTGATGGGACCGGATCCTACTGTAGGAATTTAGCCTCTGGGCTGTTGAAATAAATGACTCTGAATCTAAGGCAATTAGAATGGGCAACCAATTTGGGAAACAAACTTTCGAACAACCACGGCAATTCAAATATGCTGAAGAGGCTTGAGGTGGTCAGGTTGAGGGAGTGCCATCACTTTATCACTTATTCAATGAATATCGAGCATTTGTTCAATTGTAGTCAGTGTTTCAGCTGCTGGGAATCCAGCAACTACAAAGTAGACTAAATATATTTGTCTTCAATGAACTACACTCTTAGGGCCAAATTGGTCTGGGAGAGTGAGGGTGGAGGAGGGAGGTGTGATGGTGGAGACAGCAGTGAACAAGTAAGTGAAGTATATAGTGTGGTAGACGCAGGGTTGCCAGATTGAGCAAATAAAAATGCACCGAGTATGTCTTTTAGTATATATATATATATCCTTTGCACTGTTGGGGACAAGCTTGCCAAAATTGTTCATTATTTATCTGAATTTTAAATTTAGCTGGGCATCCTGCATTTTACCTAGAAACCCAGTTAGAAGGAAATGAGGCTTCAGGGGGAAATAAGGCAGTGAAAGGAATAGGGGGTTCATGGGTAGAGATGGGGGAAACTGTAGAAAGGATCAGGCGAGCCCCATAGTCAGTATCTGAACTAATGTTCAAAAGAAGCCAGCAAGGCAATGGCAAAACAAGTTCAAAGAACAAAAGGAACATGGAAAAAAGATGGGAAAATAACCCACGTGGAGGGGGGGAGAAGGGCAAGGATCCAAAGAGGAGACTGACGCGAGGAACCAGGCAAGAACATCGGTCGTCTGCACCAGCGGGTAGTGGAGCAGGTGGCAGACAAGAATTAGGTATATGTAAAAAAAAGCCACAATAATTTGTTAAAGGCTGGGATGTGGAATACAAGAGAAACAGCAAAGACTCAAAAATGACACCAAAAATTTTGGTCTGCACATCTGGAAGAGTGGCGCTGTCTTTTTTACCTGAGTGGGAAAGCAGTCAGTAGCTAGGACAGTGTTTGTCATCCGGGAGATGTGGAGGAGGCAGAAAGCTTTCAGGCGTGCCAATGTGTGTTTGGATATTCGTGACTGGAACTGTGGAGGGAGGGCAGGCACTCCAAGAAAGCTACTAGGATTGGGTCTATGTACAGAAGGAAAGATTCAAGACTTGTGCCTGGGAAGTAAGAATCCACGCTTGATTTCTGAGACGCCACTTAGTTTTGGGGGCTCCGATGTTGGAAGGGGTGTGGTTTTTGTTTTTGGTTCTTGGACAGCAGGAGGACCACACAAGGAGGTGAGGCCTCTGATGGTCACATCACAATCCCAATCCCTCCGTTCCTCTCCTGGCCATCTCGCCATTGTATTTTTTATATATTGCTTATTTTTCACCAAATCACAATGTGGTATTCCAGGGTCAAGACTGTGTTTTCATCTTTTACAGCCCCAGCACCTAACATCACCACCAGAAGTTAATAAATAGTATTGAATAAGATTAATTATACCTTATTGAAAAAGATTAATTATACCTCTCCATGACTTTGATCCACTATAGGGAAAGATCCCTTGGGTGATCATGTAACTTACTGTTTTAACTGAGAAACTTTGAGTGAAAGGGAACACTATAAATAATTTCACGGAGACAACAGTTGCAACCCAGGATTGTTTTGGCAAACTGGGACATATGGTCACCTCAAGGATAACTTATCAATGCAGTTTCCATTGTCTATTCCTGGCTGAATAGACAGGCTGCGTAGCTAAGTAACATTTTAAAAGTATCCCGCAAAGTGCATGGTGCAAAGTAGGCACTCAGAAATTATTAATTGAATTTGACTCTAATTATATCACGCTCCTTTTCAAGACCAAGGGCTCCTTGGCCTCATGGCGGGTGAGGTTTCCATGGGGTGCCCACATCAGCCCAGAACAGCGCTGAGGTGTCTGCCTTTGCGCTGTCCCCTAAAATCACGGACCCTATGTTGGTAGAGTGCTGTCAGTCTCCTGCTTGATGCCCATCCTCCCAACCCTCCCGCTTGCCAATGTTTTAAGGTAGTATTTTTTTTTTTAAGATTTTATTTGTATATACAGAACTGGGGTACAGGCCAGAGGCTCAGGGGCAGCGAGAGGATTCACCAGAGACAGAGTGGGGAGCAGAACAGGCAGATCGACAAAGTACACTGCCCAGGGGAGCAGCGGGCGGGTCAGGAGAGGTCTGCCGCGCCATGTGGTCACCTCCGGGGCAGGCGGGAATCGAACTCATGTGGAAGTGGCTTAAACTTCTTAGTGCTGTGCTTTAACCCGCTGCGCCACCAGGGAGGGCCTTAAGGTAGTATTTTTTATGGTGATAGTCATTTTGCAAGATATAAATGTATCAAAGCAATACAGGGCACAACTTAAACTTATACAAAGCGATATGTCTGTTATATCTCCATGAAGGTGGAAGAGCCTTTGCAGCCCCCACATTGTGGGTCCCAGACATTAGTTAGGTCTTTGCTTAGAAACCTCTAAAAATGCCCTATTGATCTCGGTTCCTTATCCTATTTTTCCTTCAGAGCAGTCATCACTGTGATATTTATATTATACAGTATTTGTTTGTTATCTGTTTCTCTAATTATAATGTAGGTCTTCCCTGAAGGAAGGGAGATAAGACTAACCTGAGCAACGCTTCACTGTATCCTAATGTTTCTCAGAGTGCTAATAAGCAGGCCCTCAATAAATATTTGTGTACATGAATCAATCAACTCAACAACACTTGAGAACAGAAGTCTCTTCTGGCTATTTCTGATTGACCTAAAATCTATACCAGAAGTCCTTTTAATCACTTAAACTTAATAAGTTATTTTTGGGAGAAGATGGTGGTCTGACTTTAGCTATAATTTCTGTACCGTTCTATATATGGTGGTGATCTTTATGATATTAACTATGATATGATAGGGGACTATCCTATCCCTAACAAGAACCCATATCCTATATATTGCACATATTAGTCAGATAGCCTGATTGCTGCAACAGCCCAGACCCCCTCCCCCCATCTCAGTGGTTTAGCATAACTGAAATTAGTTTCTTGAACACAGTCTAATGTGAATAGTGCTGGTCAATCCTGGGTGACTCACCACTAGCCGGGCTCTGGGACCCAGGCACAATTGTCTAGTACCATACCATTCCTCAGGATCATCTGTTCAGCCTGCCCTTCTGCCCACATAGCACTGACCGGAATCAGTTCAAGGCCCCAGCTAGATAAAGGGGCTGGAAAAACGTGGCCTTCTGTGTGTATGCAATAGTTAATGTCATGATAGATAAAATAAGATGGTTACCATCCTAGGACAAGACAGGTCACACACCCAAACAAAACAGCAGCTCCCCAGAACCCCAGAATGTTCCTAGAACAAGAGAGCATCTCAGCAGAATTTCAAAATCTACATCTTGTAGACCCCTGACCAGAAGCTACCACAAGAACCACAAAGACGCTGAAGTCTACCTACTCTTCACCTTGGAGTGAAACCCTAGGGAAGCCCTGGGGCCTGTTGCTGGCTCTTGGTGGAGAGCACACCTGGAATGCCTGATCCCGCCCCTTGGAGCAGGCTAAGCCTGTGGAGTCTAAGGGCAGCCAAGAAGCCAGCCTTGCTGGCTCCCTCCAGACAACTTGCAGTGTGAATATCTTCCTATGGATAGCCTGGCTTCCATCCTCTGCCTACTTCCTAGGCTCAGGGCCCAGTCCCACCCTCTGTGTTTACTCTCCAGAATGTCTGCATCCCAGCTAGGAAGCCCTTTGAAACGCAAATTGTCTTGGGCAGGCCAGCCTTCCTGTCCCCACCATGCAGTGGATAATTTTGGAGAGGTGTTCTCCATTCTGCTTGGAGGGGCTGCTGGAGTAGTTGCTCTGGGCTGTGCAGAGTGTGGGACGCAGGAAGGGGACCCTGGAAGCCTGTCTGCATGCTGCTGCTCCCCTACTTATTTGGCATGGATTCCCAGAGTAGCAAACAGCTAGAAACACTTGTGTTTAAAATGTTAGCGTCAAAGTACTTTGCAGAGAAGGAATAGAACTGATTTTCCATTTTGATGACTTGGATAATATAAATGTGGATAATGTGGAATTGGTGACTTATCAATTATATCAAGTATTACAAGAATTTTGGCTAACAAAAACTCATACACATGCATACTCAAAAGGAAAGTTAATTTTTCAGATGCTACACATCTTTACTAACCTGAGATATGGGAGCTAGGCATTGTCAGTATCCAGGTGTACCCAGCTGTTGCTGTTATTTTTGTATTATTAAAGAAGAGGACTCTAAAAAGGCAGCCGTCATGAGGATCCATGTAATGAGTCAATAACCTAAATAAGTGAAATTAAAGTTAATCTCCCAAAAGCTTTTGAGCCAGTAGTTCTGTCTTCTTTCCCTTTCTGTGTGAAACTAATGAAAAGTCCAACAATTAGCTAATCTGGAACATTTCCCTCTCTTTCCTCATTAGTATCTGATCGAGATGTTTATGATTATCAGCATAACATGAAATAAAGGGTAGATAAGAAGAATTATTCCCAGAACACACATCTTGGTAGGGTACCAGGAAACCAACCTGAGATTCAAATATTCTCTATGCCCAATCAAACACTGTTGTGACTAGAGTTCTATAAAGATGTTTCTAGGTAGAGACCAGGGAAACTGTTGGCCTTTGACTGTTTGTGTAAACTGTGGGCACCTGTTGATCGATCTACACCTGGGGATCACCAGTGAGAAGGTTGGTTCTCCATTGATCTGAAACTTAAATCTACCTCTGTCAAATATTGTATATGTTTTAGCCTGCATATAAATTTTTTTTTTTTTTAAGATCCTGGGGCTAGAGAAAACTTGATAGGTTCAAGGGGGAAAGTTCTGCTGGTGGTTGTAACAAGGAAAACAAAGAACAGAAAGTGACCTGAGATCTGAAGGACCCAGATTATTAACCTGCATATAAATTTTAAAGATAATTAGCTAATAAATTGTCACTAGAAACTTTTTTTTTAAATTAGAATAAATTTGAAGGGTTTAGAGCTAGTAAACTCTGCTTACAAATGCAAGTCAACCATCTCACCTGTTTTTTTAAAGAATTTTTTATTTCTGCATACAGAACTGGGGTACAGGTCAGAGGTGGAGGGAGCGGTAGTGAGAGGATTCACCAGAGACAGAGTGGGGACCAGAACATGCCAATTGACAAAGTACACTGCTGAGGGGAGCAGAGGGCAGGTCAGGAGAGATCGTGCCACGCCATGTGGGTCATCTCTGGGGCGGGGATCAAACTCATGCTGAAGTGGCTTTAGCTTCCTAGTGTTGTGCTTTAACCCACTGTGCTACCAGGGAGGGCCTATTTCCTTATTGTTATTTCTGGTCTCATCCTGATATCAATATTTATATGTATAAATCTGAAGGTGATTTCTGAAACATTTGCTTCATTTCCAAGTTCAAAAGCAGCTATTATAATCATAGACATGTGAACCACTTCAAAATTCTATTCCCCACGTTAGAATAAACCAACTAGGGGCCTCCCTGATGGTGCAGCAAGCTAAAGCACAGCACAGCAAGCTAGCCGCAGCTGCTTCATTGCAAGTTTGATCCCTGGCTCTCCAGAGCTGACTCACATGGAGCAGCAGGCTTCTCCTTGGTCACCCACTGCTCCCCTCAGCAGTGGATTTCAGTAGACCTGCCTGTTCTGTGACCTGCTCTGTCTCTGGTGAATCCTCTCACCCCACTCCCACCACTTGCACCTCTGGCCTATATATACTCCAGTTCTTGTATTTTTTTGTACATTTTTTTTCAATTTATTTTATAAAATAATTTTTTTTAATTCTTAAATGGAAAAGATGTAGTGTATTGTCAAAGGCCTTGACCTAGACACCCTGCGCTAACCTGTCCTGAGGTACAAATTGACTGCTGCTTAGCAATGAAAAAGCCAGCAATGACAATGCTTTAAATGTAGGATGTGTCCAAAGAATCTCCACTTATTGTCTGTATGAATATTCCTGTCAACTGGGAAAAGAGCGTTACAGGTTTTTAAAAAAGAAGAGAAAATAATGAACTCTCAAAATCACTTCAGGAGCTGGCCAGGTTCTCACAGTGAGTGGTTCCTACCCAGTCTTGCCCATATAGGTAGAAAAAGGTGTTCTTGCCCACTGAGTGCCTGGAAAAGGCAGTGGACCAAATCTAGGACTCACTAGAACTAGTCTAGAACAAATAATTTAGCCTCCTTCAACTTTTCTGTCTTCAATAGAAAGGTGAGGAAGGGGGCCCTCCCTGGTGGCCTAGTGGGTTAAAGCCCAACACTAAGAAGCAAAAGCCATTTCAGCATGAGTTCGATCCCAGCCCCAGAGGTGACTCACATGGTGCAGCAGACCTCCTGACCCACCCGCTGCTCCCCTCAGCAGTGTACTTGTCAGTCAGCCTGTTCTGCTCCCCGCTCTGTCTCTAGTGAATTCTCTCACCTCCCCCTGCACCTCTGGCCTGTACCCCAGTTCTGTGTGCAGAAATAAATAAATCTTTTTAAAAAATAATAAGGAAATAATCAGACTCCCAGAGACTTTTTCCCTCTAAAGTTTTCTTTAGTTACATGTGAAGGTCAGGGACAACCCATTTGTCTGCAAACTGTTCTGACCACTGTTCTTGTTTGGAGTTACCTCAGGGAGAGATGAAAATAGAGTTTTCACTGCAGCTTCTTTAGTTCTAAAGTGTAGTTTTTCCTGTTTTTTTTGAGTGTTGATTCCCCCCGCCCCGCCCTTGCCTTCAAAATAACTCTGCTAAGTTACATTCCTACATTAAGAGCTGCCATAACCTCTCTTTTTAATGAGATTTCAAGTCTGAAATCATTAATTGCTAACCATACTTTTTTTCCTTCCAGAACAAGGAAAAAGCAACCTGCATGTCACATCGCTAGAAGATGCAGAATGTCGCAGAACCAAGGATCGCCTTTCTAATGGGAACGGTCGAATTGCCGTTTCCAGGTCTTCCCGCAACATCCCACGGAGACACACTCTAGGTGGGCCTCGCAGTTCCAAAGAAATCCTGGGAATGCAAACCTCTGAAATGGATAGGAAAAGAGAAGCTTTCCTAGAACATCTGAAACAGAAGTACCCCCATCATGCCACTGCGATCATGGGACACCAAGAGAGGCTGAGAGACCAGGTAAGGAGACTGCTGCTATTTCACTGCAAGGTTTTTTCATTAATGGACCTGAGGGAAAGCAAAGTGAGCTCCAGCTTATAGCAGGACAGTTAGTTGAGTGAAGTGCCTACTGTTCAGTTGTTCCAGAACTCTTCTGGGACTTGGGAGAAGGTTTGAGAAAGGTTGGACCTAAGAGCTCTACCCACTTTACTATCCCCTCAAAGAACAAGAGGCCAGAGAGGAAAGACCCAGGGGTTCTGCAGTTCCCCCAAGAATATCCTCACATTCAACTACTTACTAGTAGATTGAAAATGCGGTGAATGTTTAATTGAATGAATGAATGAATGAATGAGTGAATGAATCCATAGATAAATTCTTAGATTAAATAGAGCATAGAGGGATAGACTGGAGATACATTTCTCTTGCTCAAGAAGCTGCCATTACAGTTTAGTTTCCGTTCTTTTCCTTTATAGTCAGAGATGTTTTCTTTTTGTGTAATTTGGCTTTCTTCTGTCTCATCTACCTTTGTCTGAGGTTATCCTGACATCCACACAGATATCACCTATCTGAGGCTTGAATTTTTTTTTTTAAGATTTATTTATTTATGCATACAAGAACTGTCAAATAGGCCAGAGGGAGGAGGAGGGAAGGTAGGCTGAGAGGATTCACCAGAGACAGTGGGGAATAGAGCAGATAGATTTACTGAATTACACTGCTGAGGGGAGCAGCTGGGTGGGACAGGAGAGGTCGGACAGGAGAGGTCTGCTGTGCCATGTGGGTCAGCTCCCTGCCCGGAGATCGAACTTTCGCTGCAGTGGCTGTGGAGAGCTTCATAGGAGTGCTGAGATTTAAGCTCTTGCACCTCCAGGAAGGCCCTTAGGATGTTTTTGTTTCTTGGCTGTGTTCCATGACTTTTAGCAGACAGTGCAGTTTGGGGGTTAAAGGAGATGGACACCTGCTTAGTAGACCTTACAGGCTGGTTATCACATTGACCTTTGAGGATGAAGAAGACAGTGAAGGAAGCAGAGAGCACTTAGTGGTGTGTGTGGTAGGGGAAGGATGGCAGGCTGTCATTGATTTCGACACTACAGGTAGAGAGATAATCTGTTTGAAGTCTGCTGTTTTGCCCGTTAGTTACAAAAGTGATATCTACCTCAGCTTTTGATCTTCCATGGAATGGAAGATCAGGGTGATTGGAATCACCCTGAGTCATTTAAATCTACATTTCTACCTCAATCTCATTGTCTCCCTTAAATCCAGTCTTTCCAGCTATGAAGTCTTTGCCAGGTACCTATAAATGTGAGGTGTGTTTATGGGCTTTCCATTTGCCTTTTGTTCACATTGCAAAAAGCATTAGACCCAGAAGAGGAGAAAAGAAACAGGAATCCTGGTTAGTGTATAAATGCATAGATTAATCTTGAGTTTTTCAGAAAAGGAGGCTATCTTCATTTCAAGCTACAAAGGAAATATTGCTATTTTATTTTTATCCAGATTTTGACTGAACTCTAGTTTAAAAAGGAAATCCAGGTCTCCCAGTGGCATGGGATTACATCACAGCATTATCACACCAGCCACTGCATCCTGAGTTCAATCCCCGGGCAGGGAGCTAATCCATACAGTGCAGCAGAACTTCCTATCTCCCCACGACTCCCCTCAGCAGTGTATTTTAGTCAGTCTACCTGTTCTGCTTCTCACTCTGTCTCTGGTGAATCCTCTTACCTGCTCCCTGTTGCACCTCTGACCTGTACCGCTGTTCCTGTACGCATAAATAAATTAAGTAAATCTCAAAAAACTTTTTTTTAAAAAAGGAAATCCCCCATTTTATTATATCAGCTCTCCTAAATGTAATGTACATTGTACAACTGTGGTATATAAAACTTCCCTGTACAAAAATATCAATCCCATTTTACATGGGATATAAATATATGAGTATGTGTTTATAGCTACAAGCAATAGCATCTTTTTTGACTTACTTTTGATGAATTTAATTGTATCATAATAGAACTCCTATCACCTTGGAATATTCCTCATGCTTGGATAATGGGTACCAACTTATACCTTCAGGATTAGAGATTGTCCCTCCATTGTGTATGAAAAACCCCAACTAAGCACATTTTGTATATCACTGTCATCATAACACTTATGAATCTGTGTATATGGAAAGTGTCTGAAATTCAAGATTAAGCATCCATATTCATGGACATAGACATCAGCAAATCCTGGAAGGGAGGCTAGTTGGCATGAACTTTGATGCACAAAAACATAGATCACTCAGTGAGTAGAGGACTTAAGGCAATGCTGAGGTAAGAGGCCTGGTTAAAATGTTATGGTTGTGGAGGGGTAAGTTTTCGAAAAGTATGCCAACTTTATAAATAAGAACATAAATGGAAAGTTTGTAAGTTATAGTAATAATCCAGATAGGAAAAGGACAGGCGAATTTCCATGTTTTATAGCAGAAACCACTTAACTCTGAACTAATGACTGAATATGGGCTTATACACCAGTTTTTTCACTAACCTCCAGGGAAAAGGAAATAACTTCTTGAAAATTAAGAAATCTAACACAATGTGTGTGGAATAAATAATAATTTGGCACTAGAAAGTGGTAAAAATAGTGGTGAGCATCTGAAAAAGGTAAAAATTGCAAAAATGTTACTGTTACTAAAATAACACCTTCAGGTGGGAGGTTCATGGTGTCAGAAAAGAATTTTTCACATAATTTTAAGGGAATTTGCACTAATATATGTGTATGATTAGTAAAGTAATAGATGTCTGTGAATAAAGAATGATATGATTAGTAAAGTAATAGATGTCTGTGAATAAAGAATGATAGTCAGTATTCAGTAGAAGATTCAGTATTAAGGGAATTCTTGTTCTTAGAAACTCCAAATAATCTTGGATATATCTAAGGGAAATCAGAATGTGATCAAAAACAATAACCATTTAATTTGAGTAAAAACGATCATTTGAGAAAAACCATAGCAAAAAATGAGAATTGCAGTCTAACACTTAACAGATGATGCTACTCACAGATGATGAAAGAGCTAGCAGGGAAATGTTTTCCAGACAGCTGATCTTTGAATTGTGATTTGAATCATGGGGAAAGTGTATTTCAGAAGATTTGGAACATTACAGAGTAGGACATTTTGTGGCAGGAAGGTAGTGATTCAAGGGGCTGCAAAACTGACTTTTACTTGACATTAATCATACAGGATACAGAAAAAGGAAAGAAGAATCTTAAATGGGGATCATTCATAACATACGGCTTTTGATCCGTGTTTAATTGGGTGCCACCAATCTTTGAGTTAGCTTTCATATTAATTAGTGTGTAGAAGAGCAGAAGAACACATTTTGAGAACAGTGCTATATTAAGAGCACTGCCAAAAAAAAAAAAATCAAAATAAGATTCTACTGGAAAACTTGCAAAGGAGTGCCTGGGAGTAGGTGGGAAAGTGAGGGAGTCAGAAACCAAAAGTACAGCTAGCTCAGTGGCAGGAGACACCTGCAATATGATCATCAGTAAACCTGCAGAAAATCGCCACTAAATGAGATGGAAATTTCAGTATTGAGAAGCCCAAAAAAGACCAATGTGATTCAGTCCAGTACATTGAGGCAGAATGCATAGTGCAGACACTGAAATGGTCCTTCCTCTTTTTAGTTATCAAGTTCACTTTGCCATTATTCATCCTCCTTCTTCCTGCAGGTGTGTGTGGGGTTCAGTGTGTATTTTAAAATCAATCAGATGGTAAATTCATCATGAACCTACACTCTAGGCCATCAGGTGTATAGAAAAAATACAAAACAGAATACCTCCCTATCAAGGTTACATCTAGTTAATGGAAAGAATGCCAACCTTTGGGTCCATTAGAACTGATTATGTGAGGACACGACTCTAACTCCAGGGGAGTCGGTCCATTTCTCTTAGGCTTTTTGCTAACCGTAGAAGTTTGACAGACAATACAGTTGTGGGGAGGTTTAGATGAGATAATATGTGTCTTCTAGAGATGCTGAATGCATGCTGAAAACCTTCATCAGTTGGGAGGCCAAGGTCGGCACCTCTCAGAGTAGGGTGAAATAGGGTAAATTGTAAACTGCAGTGATTTAGAACTGCATCTATAAAAGTATATTCTTCAAGAATCCTGAATCTCCAGTCTCATAGCTGTTTGGGGAATAGGGAGGAAGTCCTTAATAAGGGGAAATTCTTAGTTAAACAGAGATAAAAGAATCCCTACTACACTTTAAGGCTTGTCAAATCTTTTAATATGCTACATGACATTGAGAATCTCAAGTGGAGATCTAAGACTAGACTGGTGAGGAATGAAATATTTGTGCAGTATTTCCTAAGCCTGCGTGACCATTATTTGGAGGGTTCTTGTTTTGTGTGACATATTAGGAAAGAGTGGTATGTACCCTGGAAGCTTGTTGGAATTCAGCAGTAGGAGATCAGAATTTGGGTGGAGTCTCTTGGAATGACAATGAATTCCCAGAGCCAGGAAACTCATCCTCTTTATTATTTGTTTCTTCATTGCCTAGCACAGAGTAGTAGGTCTTCAGTAAATAGCCATGTCTAGGAAATCGACAAATTGTGATTGGCATGAGTAGAACAAAGGCATGAAGGAGAAGAGACAGGAGAGGCAGCACTGAGACAAGAGCAGCCATGGTTCCTTCCTGGGTCAACTGAGGGGCCTTGTCGAAGGGATTTGGACATGTCACGTGGAAAATTAAGAGTCAGTGGATTCAAGGAGAGGGAGCTCTGGTTGGGTTGCCTTTGAAAGTCAGGCAGAAATCTCAGTCTGGCAGCCACAAGGACCCTTGTGCCCTTGAATACAGAAGTGGAATCACAGCCAAATATAAAGGTTAGCTTTTCTGAATTACATGGAAAAACTGTGAAAAGCTTGGGGGACTGATCTGAAAGTGACTGCAGTATCCATATCTGTAGAGAGATGCCCAGCCAACGTAGTCATGTCTGGTATGGCGTTTAGCCAAAATTGAGACTCTTCCCACATTCAGTAGAGGGTGACT